AAAATCTTGCATTATTTATTCAGCATTATATTGCAATCCAAGACTGTCAATATTGGTATTTGGTACAAACTTCTTATCTACTTTACCAAATTACATTGATGACTAAGAATTTTCAGTCTCTTCATAAATAGATTATAAATTTCCTCTCTGTTATTTTGGAACTGGTTGTTTGTATTTCTCAAATTTATTTCTATATTATTGTGGTGTCAATTCATCTTTTTATAACTTTTAAAAGTATTAACATAAAATCTTTATTTCATCTTAAACATTCAATAGTTCTAATGAACTATCTTCATCATCTTAACTTAATAATTCCTCCACTTTAATATCAATCTTTTCCATTAAATGATATAAACTTTAGTTAACTTAATTCAAATCTTTTATATATTAACCTGTTGCTTTAAAGTCCAAACTTAAAGCCTTCTCTATTAATTAAGTTTTCAATTGGCTATATAAATTTATCAATAGCTAAGCACTTTAATTAATTTCCTTTTAAGTATCATTATCAGGAGTAGGTATATTTTAGATTTTCTACACCTATATAGGCTAAGTTGGTTAAACCTATTTATATGGTTAATCTTATTAATTCAATTAAGATGGCTATGATTTTGGGATTGATTTAATATCTTCCAAAACTTATGGTATATTCTTTGAGTGTGTTTTAAAAATTGAAGTTGTATTCTTGTCCACTTCTTCCTTCTTGTAATATTTAAATTCATCTGGAAATTTTATTTTTTTCACTACAAGTCTAGCATATGATAGAAAAAAAGGAGTATATGTTACTTAATCACTCTTACAAGTGTATATTTTAGCCCAAGCTTCTATACTCTCTAAAATAAGCCTCAAAAAACTATTCCCATAAGAAGATTGATTTTTATCTGGATTTTCTGAAAAATAATGCTTTCCTCTATCATCACTATGATCATCCTTCTTAAATTCAGCAATCTTTTCATAATAGGGTAAACAAATTTCTGAAAACAATGTGTTAAATTCCACATTACGTTAATCTACTGCTTCTTTACCTAACCTTGAAGCCATTAAATTCAAAACAGGCTCTTTTATCTTAAGAGCCTATATAATTGCATCACAGATTGGTTAATAAACTGCCCTAAAAATCATGCAAAGATCTTACTAATCTTTATTGCCGACCCTTTCCACATATTGCTTAATTTATTTGTATGTTTCTTATGTTCTTAATAAACTATATATTTGATTTGATAAAGACATTAAAAATATTAATTACAGAAATTAATTTTATTATTTTATTTGTATATCTGAATAAAATATAGTTTATAATTTATTCAATAACATAAACAAAAGTAAATGCCAAATTAATATTAGGATTACCAAAATAAACATTAAAAAAATCTATAATATTACAATAATTTATGAATAAATATATAATTGAATTACATAAAAAGATTTTCTAAAACCTTCTATTTTACTTTTTTATAATAAAAATACAAAAAGTATTTTTATTGAAAGTATTTTCTACTTAAACATTTTTTGTTATTTATCCTGATTCTGAATGATAATAGGATATTTAATTCAAAAATTATAATTTCTTCTGGAATCCTCTTTTTCTTAATCTTCTTGATTATTTTACTAGTTGATTAAAATATAAAATGAAAAAAATCATAATTATTATTAGTCTATAATTGAATTCAAAAAGAGATTTGTCATTTTTATACACATATCTTTAAGCATATTAAGGGAAGATTATTATTTCATAGGTTAAGAAGCTAGAATTTACTTTACGAAAATAATTGAAAAATATAAAATAAAAAAAATACTATTTTTTTATTCCAATACTAAAACAAAAATATTAACAATCTCTTTATGATACTAAAAAAACTTGATTATGTTTTTATCAATAAATATATTTATCTTTTTGCTAATTAAATAGTAGTGTAAAAATAGAGTATAAATTAAAAATTAAAAAGAAATATTATTATATATATATTAATATCTAATAAATTAGAAAAATGATAAAACTCTTATTATTGATGACATCAATTATTAGTAGTTATTGCTTTAATCCTAATGACTATATAACAATACCTTTCCTGAGATTTCCAGATTCTTTGAGTTATAATGTTTTAGAGATAAATTCAATTTTTGAATATTTGATAGCATGTGTTTACATAGGGTAAATTGATAAGCTGATATAGATTATTCTACTACTCCATGTACTTTTGTATAAGTCAACTTTTAGTATGGAGTCATCCAGCTCCTAAGACACCGGAGAGATTAGCATAAACAAAAGAAGAAATGAGGAGGGGTTTTAAAGCTCTATTTTATGTAATATTATTAACAACAGCAATAATATGGAAGATACAACCATTGAATCCTTATTATGGATATTATGAGACACATGAATTCGGATTTAAAGAATTCTTTATTTCATTAATAGTGTAATATAATATTATTATGTATTAAGATATATGGTGACATTTGATGTGTGGTTTTATACTTCACATATAATTGGACATATGCCCTTTTTTTGGAAACATTTTCATGGTGAACATCATGAATTTGTTGAACCTGGAGCATATGCTTAAGATGCAGTACATCCAGTTGAAGCATTAATTTAAGGACCTATTGGACATTTCTTACCAACATTTATTTATCCATTCCATCCAGCATGCCATCATATTTTTGGTTTATTGACATCAATATATGCCTAACTTGCACATGATGGAAGATGGGATCCAGCAGGTCACACTTTACATCATTATTATTATTCTTGCAATTTCAGCATTTGGGGATTATGTGATTTTATATTTGGAACAGGTTACAATTAAGAGAAATATCCTATTCCTTATATTCCAACCTGGCTTAGAAGCAAAGTTAATAATAAGAATCAAGATAAAAAAATAATGTGATAATATGATATAATTGATTATGCTGATCACAATCTGGCTTTGTTGTTTGGGAATCCTAATCCTTAAGCAATTCTCTCTCCATATTCTGGGTCACATTTGGTAAATACTTTAACTTGTCTCTCTTAGATTACTCTATTGGCATTCTAAATATAATATTAAGATTGATACCTTCAAATGTCCAACAATATTGGTTATTAACCATTATCTTTCAAAATCATTCATTACCTTTCTATATAAAACTCCTGGTTGAGCAAAATCATCATTTGGATGTGATGGTTTATATCTTCCAATTAAACCAGTTACTCTATATTAACTAGTTTTGGATTCTGGAATCATTTTTAATGGTTAAAATGAATTAGGTTCATAATTTGGTCTATTTCCTTAATTATTAAATGATTAAGGTCCATCTCTTTATTAATTGATAACTCTTGCTCTGTATGGACAATTGACAGGTAGTTATGTATAATTTGTTCCTAATCTGTGTCTATGAGTATCTGGATAAGAGAATAATCTTCCTTATAACATCTTATCCAATGATGGTTCAATACCTGGGACCAAATGTCCTGGACTGAAAGCTGATTATTCAACTTCTTAGAAATAATTTTCTGGATTTCTATTCAAAACCATTTTTCCAAAATTAAGACATGGATAATCACTATGTGGCCATACTTTTGTAACATCAAAAATATTCCATTTATATTTGAATCCATCTTATTCTGGCATAACTTAAACTTAAACTGTCCAAGTAGCTGTTTTACCAGCTGCAAGATGTTCAAATAAATCTTAAGTAGCATAATCTGGATTTGTTCTTTTTAATTCATCAGCTTCAGCACCTGTTAATGATTTATTACCAGCATCTGTTTTGAAATGTAATTTAATCCAAAATGCTTCTCCTTCTTTATTTACCCATCTGAATGTATGAGATGTGTATCCATTCATATGTCTAAATCCATCTGGAGTACCTCTATTAGAAAAGAGTATAGTGACTTAGTGAGCACTTTCAGGTACCAAACTTAAGAAATCCCAAAACATATTAGCATCCTTCAAATTAGTTTAGGGATTTCTTTTTTATGTGTGAATAAAATCTGGGAATTTATTTGGATCTCTAATAAAAAAGACTGGTGTGTTGTTTCCAGTCATATCATAATTGCCTTCTTCAGTGTAAAATTTAACAGCAAACCCTCTTGGATCTCTTTCAGAATCTGCTGATCCCTTTTCACCTCCCACAGTAGAGAGTCTTGTGAAAATTGGTGTTCTTTTGCCTACTGTATCCAAAAACTTGGCCTTTGTATACTTTGTCACATCTCCTGTCACTTCAAAGTATCCATAAGCACCTTTACATATCTAAAATATGAAATACCTGCTCCCTTGGCATGTACAACTCTTTCTGGAATTCTCTCTCTATCAAAATGAGCTAATTTATCAATGAGATGAGTATCCTATAAAAGAATGGGTCCATATTCTCCTGCAGTCAAAGAGTTTTGGTTGTCATCTACTGGACAACCTGTAGATTAGGTCAACATATTATCTGAATTGTCTGACATATTATTTATTAAATTTGCGTAATAATCAACTCATACTCAAAAATCTTTATTTCTCTAACAAATCCAATTTTTCATAATGTTACTCAAATATTTTATAAAATTAGCCAATATTCGATCACAATTAATAATGATCAATCTCTAACAGAATCACAATTAAATAACTAACAATTTTATCAATTTATTAATATGTCTTCTGAGATTTTGCTTAGATTAATCTGATAAGGAGATACATGTCTATCCTTATTGTTTATTCGATAAATTGAAAAATTTTTGATGCAGCTTGTTATCACAAAAAAATTTAGTTTGCATCTAATCATTCCTATACATGAGGTTGGATAACTATTTAAATGGGCTTTTCAATTGAGTTTTCGTGCTTAATTAATATTATTTGATTAATTAACACATTAAAGTAATTTAAATGGGAAGTTTACAAAAGAAGTGACAAATTATATGATTTAAATTTGTTTAAAATTGACAATTTTAAAGATTAGGATATGATCATTTGTTTCTTGCATTTAAGTTTTATTTTAGGAATTAAGAATAAACTTTTATTATAAATGACAAACATTAGTCAAGGACCCACACTAATTCCCTCATAACTAAAGAATTATATAAAATAATCAAAATTTATCTACAATTATAATAGTGAATAATCATATAAAATTTTTTGATATTCATCCNTATGAGATGTGTATCCATTCATATGTCTAAATCCATCTGGAGTACCTCTATTAGAAAAGAGTATAGTGACTTAGTGAGCACTTTCAGGTACCAAACTTAAGAAATCCCAAAACATATTAGCATCCTTCAAATTAGTTTAGGGATTTCTTTTTTATGTGTGAATAAAATCTGGGAATTTATTTGGATCTCTAATAAAAAAGACTGGTGTGTTGTTTCCAGTCATATCATAATTGCCTTCTTCAGTGTAAAATTTAACAGCAAACCCTCTTGGATCTCTTTCAGAATCTGCTGATCCCTTTTCACCTCCCACAGTAGAGAGTCTTGTGAAAATTGGTGTTCTTTTGCCTACTGTATCCAAAAACTTGGCCTTTGTATACTTTGTCACATCTCCTGTCACTTCAAAGTATCCATAAGCACCTTTACATATCTAAAATATGAAATACCTGCTCCCTTGGCATGTACAACTCTTTCTGGAATTCTCTCTCTATCAAAATGAGCTAATTTATCAATGAGATGAGTATCCTATAAAAGAATGGGTCCATATTCTCCTGCAGTCAAAGAGTTTTGGTTGTCATCTACTGGACAACCTGTAGATTAGGTCAACATATTATCTGAATTGTCTGACATATTATTTATTAAATTTGCGTAATAATCAACTCATACTCAAAAATCTTTATTTCTCTAACAAATCCAATTTTTCATAATGTTACTCAAATATTTTATAAAATTAGCCAATATTCGATCACAATTAATAATGATCAATCTCTAACAGAATCACAATTAAATAACTAACAATTTTATCAATTTATTAATATGTCTTCTGAGATTTTGCTTAGATTAATCTGATAAGGAGATACATGTCTATCCTTATTGTTTATTCGATAAATTGAAAAATTTTTGATGCAGCTTGTTATCACAAAAAAATTTAGTTTGCATCTAATCATTCCTATACATGAGGTTGGATAACTATTTAAATGGGCTTTTCAATTGAGTTTTCGTGCTTAATTAATATTATTTGATTAATTAACACATTAAAGTAATTTAAATGGGAAGTTTACAAAAGAAGTGACAAATTATATGATTTAAATTTGTTTAAAATTGACAATTTTAAAGATTAGGATATGATCATTTGTTTCTTGCATTTAAGTTTTATTTTAGGAATTAAGAATAAACTTTTATTATAAATGACAAACATTAGTCAAGGACCCACACTAATTCCCTCATAACTAAAGAATTATATAAAATAATCAAAATTTATCTACAATTATAATAGTGAATAATCATATAAAATTTTTTGATATTCATCCTTTTAAGGTTTAAAAATAGTATATCTTTTTATATCAAAGTTTTCTTAGCTATTGTTTTAAATAAGAATAAATTTATAGATTTAATTAGTAATAAATAAATTAATCCTGGATGCGGGGAAAAGAACAATAAAGTAACCAACTTTAAATACATGAGGAAACAATTATAATCATGAAATATCAAAAAGCATATAGATTTATAAATGAGCTTATTAAATAAATCAAAATGATGATAAGAAAAGCAAGAATGAAATTATATTATAAAATTAAAAGTAGAAATGTAAAAAATAATTATAGGGTAAATTTAAATAACTTAATTAATATTATGAACTATTAAATGATCTCAAAACTCTAAGATCCAAATAAAATAACTTTTCTTTTTAATAACAAATAACAACTCCTTAAATTTAATAATAATAAATAAAGTTAGTAAAGATCTATCTTTAAATTCAAAAGCATAAATTTTTAATAAATATAATTTATACTAATTCAAATTTTATACATTCTATTCCTAATTATATTGATAAATTAATTTTAATTATATTTTATAATATTAAATAAATGATTAGTATTAAGGTTATTTCACCTAAATTAAAGAATACAAAACATAAAGCAAATTAAAGTTAACCATCAATAACTAAATATAATAACCTAAACAGTTTCAATGATTATTTTAGAAGTCAAAGAATTTATGAATAAGGTTCGCGGCATAATAAAAGGATAAGCATTGCTGATAGTAGATGTAAAACAGATTCTCGTTTATTTGAGAATTATTCAAGTAGTACAAAAAGAATGTCAATGTAATCATCAACTTTATGTTTATCCAATACAAAATCTTAGAGTACAAGTCCAAAAACAATAAATTAAAGTTCAACAATGAACTTAAAATCTTAAAAAAATGTAACTTATTAGTCTACAAAGAAGCAAAAACATAAGTAAAATTCTAATCTTACAAATCCTTTATGCTATGATTTCCAAATCAAATTTGATGCACTATTATTGAAAACAAAAACATTTATTTAGCATTATAAATAAAGAGAAAAAATATTTATAAAAAGAGAAAAGGAATTAAATCAAGAAATATTAAAGTTAAAAACAAGAATAGAAATATAAAATAGACTTTTAATTAGTTATAATATTCCTCAAATAAAATTTTGAACACTTTTTGATTAAACTATTAATATATAATATAATCTTAACTTCTGTAAGATAAAAATACTTCTTTTTCATTAGATAACAGCTTTAATCTATATTATTTTAATTAAAATAATTGAATTACAATAAAGTATTGCTCATTAAATAATTTTAAATCATCAATATAAGCTGAAAGTATTTCAGTAAATTAAATTTAAAATGATTAATGATAGAATAGGAATATTGAAAATAGATATTGATATTTTTCCTCATTTGTTTATCATTGATAATTATATTAATATATTTGTTCTAATTATAAATATTTGAAATTTAACATGCACATTGAAAATCCATTTTACTCCTCAATATAGACTCCATACACTCAAACTAATATGGCACCTGTAGCTAATATGTAAAGAAAAGAAATTGGTGATTAAGCTATATGGACACTATCATCTGCTAAAGCAGGAAATGGAGTAGATCAATTAAGAGATGATAATTTGAATACATTTTGGTAGTCAGATGGAACATAACCACATAATATAACAATATAATTTCTAAAGAAAATGAGAGTTTAGGAAGTTGCTTTATATTTAGATTTCAAATAAGATGAAAGTTATACTCCAAATAAACTTTCTATTAGAACAGGAACTAATATTCAGGATATGAAAGTATATTTGATGAATAGAATTAGGAAGTATAATTTATTGAATTGAAAGAACCTTATGGATGGTATGTTTTTGCACTAAAGACTAAATTGCTAAATGGTTAAGAAAAGTAAAAGCTGTAATTATGTTAGACCTTATGTTTCTACGATTAACATCTAAATAGTTGTATTACAGAATTAACATAGTGGAAAAGACACACATATTAGATAAGTAAAAATATTTGGACCAAGAGAGTAATATATTTAAATTTAATAATATTTTAGGAAACAAAATCAAGGTTTGAGTTTTCCAGACTTTAAAACACCTGAAATTACTTAATATGCTTCAATTCGTTGATGTTTATAATTATATAATTATGCTTTTTGTTGTTAAGAGAGATCCTGTTTTTAAAAGAAAAAAGGCAGTTTCTGAACGCATATCACCAGAATAAAAAAGTATTTCTTTGTTTCGAAATCATAGAATTGATAAATGATTATGAAATCTTTTCATATCTCAAGAATGAAAGAAATAATCATCCAGCTTCATTTCACGTAACTTCACTTCATTAAATTCCTTTGAGTTAAAGATCTTAGAAATTTGTTACATAAACAATCAAAGATGATGTAGTAAAGCCAAAGAGTATTGATAATAACTAATAAATCAAAAAGAAAAAAAAAAGTTATTTTTAACTAAAATTGGAAAGATATCAAAAAGAAGTATAAGAATAACAATCAAAAAGAAAATAAGAATTAATGATTAAATCTAAAAATCTATTAAAAAAAGATCTCGAAGATATATAGAAAATGACGAATAAAGGAGTTAGAGAATTTGAGGAAAGATGCAATTTGTATAGTAAATATTATTCAGAAGAATTGATGACACCTACTGGAACGTAAATTTAATTATTTAATTTGTTAGAAGATAAGAAGACTTAAATTTACCTACTTATAAGTATTCAACTATTGAAAACTAGAACAAATATAAAATACTTCTCAAAAATTAACCAATTCCTTAACCAAGATTAACATCAGAATAAGAATTTGATTAATACTAAACTAATCCTGATAAAATTTAATTGATAAGTTCCTAACTGCAAAAACTAAATATCAAAGTAAATTTATCCAATTAATTTTTTCAAAGTTAATAAAAAGACCAAATGATTAAGAAGATCAATTATTTGATGCGATACTTAAAAATGATTCTTTTACAGTTAACAAATTACTTATGGAAAACAAAAACTTAATAAATATTAGAAATAGAGTATTTTTTAAATAAAACATATTAGATTTAAGAAACTCCATTGCATTTAGCGTGTAAAAGGAACTTAAAAGAGATGGTTGAATTATTGTTAAGACATTAGGCAGATGAATCATTAAAAGATATATGGGGATAGACCCCTAGATAATTAACCTTGAAATTTAGACATTTAGAAATTTTGAAGGTTTTATCTTATAAATGAATACTGTATATACTATTAATTAATAATAATATTAAATATATTTAAATCAAATATAGGATTCATGGTATGAGTAAACTTTTATAGAGAGGCAGCATTATTAAATTAGGTTTAAGGTGCTCTTACAATAGATATTTACATAGATGGATTAGAAAAAAAGAAAACTTTAAGATTTAATGACAAGTAATAAGGCTTGATAAGATTACCAGTATATTCAGTAATACATAAAGGGTGATGAAATTTCAGGTGTTGTGGATTTGAGAATGAATAAAAATAAAAGATTGATCACTTAGGAATACGGATTGAATTAATTAGTAGAATTGGTAATTTATTGTTTTAATCTAGAAATACTTAATGACTAAAAATAAGCATCCAATTTTATGTCGATGGGAAGGGAATTAGAAGCATAAGGCATTTTTTTGGAGGATAAATCCTACAAATTCTAATTTAATAAATTTGAGAAGTAATATCAAAGTTTTTATGGTAAGGAAGTAAAATTGAGGTAAGATAGTGGGTAAATTAAATCTAGATATTATTAAAGTGTTATAATGAATAGAAATTATGGATAAGTGGAATTTGCAGTTTAAATAATGGAATAAGAACAAGAAGATTAACCTTAATCTTTTTTTAAGCTTGAAGTGGGAATTGAAGATTGTTTACACTTAGATTTTGAACACTTTAAATCAAGATACAATTTAATGGATGTTGTGACAGGGAATGTGAACTTTTATTTAGTTTAAATAAAAATAAAGTATATAGAGTTAACTGTGATTCGTAAAAGAGTAGATTGGATCAGGTACAAATTAGTAAACTGAAAATGATATACTTGTGAAATATGAATTGATGGATGGATGTCCTTAAAAAAGGAGAAGTTGTACTAATTAGACTTTTTTGAGTTGTATTGATATGTCATCCACATTTACGAATGTGAGTGGTAAATTTAGTGTTAAATATATTTTAAATTTGATATTAGTTGATGAGGATGACAGAAGATATTTTAAATAATAGGAGATTACAGTTTATAGAAAGAAATGATAACTAAAATAATATATTTTATGTATATAAAAACGGATTATATTATTAATAATAATGAAAACATTTGTCTTGATTGTTCTCTTAGGATTGGCATTTGGAGTACAAGTGAATGAATAAGCAACAATTTTGTAAGATGCTTTGACCAACAATTTAAAAGCTACAAGTATGGGTAGAGCAGTTCTTGCAATGGTTGAATTGGGTTCACCTAATTTCAATCCCTTATTTGATGCATTGGAAGCTTGGGCTTCACTTATTGAAGTAATATATCAATTAATTTCAGCAAACAATAGCTGATGAAAATTCATCTTATGGAGCATTCGTTTAATAAGTAGAAACAGAAGAAACAAATTATAAAGCTCTCATTGCTTAATATGAAAGCGAATTAGCTGAATACAATATATAAATTAGAGAAATCTTAAAGTCAAGAATTTCTTTAGAGGAAGACCTTGAAAGGACAAGAACTGAATTAGGAACCACTAAATAACAAAAGGCTAACATAGAGAATTAATAAAGAGAAGATTCAGCTGATTTCAAAACAAGAACCAGTTAATTGAGTGCTGCTATTGTAGTGATTGATGAAGCCTTAAAAGTATTAGATAAAGCAAAATGTAAATCATATATTAACAATAGATTCATCATTTGTTGAAGAAGATGCTTAATAATTATCTTCTTTAGTTTCAGGAACACCAGAATTACATTCCTTATTACTTTAATTAAATACTGAAGATTACAAGAGTGCATAAAATTTATAAAAGTATATATATATATAATATATTTAGAGTCATCAATTTATTATAAAATATTAGAGATTAATTTAATTAAAATATTCAAACATTATAAGCAGGTTTTACAGCAGCTTAATAATAAGCTTAAGATATGTTTGAATTATTAAATGCAAAAATTGATTAATTAGTCAAAGAAGTTATTCCATAATTACAATAAGATATATAAGGAAAGGATAGTAAGAATATAATCTATTTAAAGGTGAAATTGATTCAAGAAGATAATTAGCTAATGAAGCTCAAGCTAATCTTGATTCAGCAGGAGAAAGTTTGAAATAATCGATTTAAGAAAAAGGTTTAGCAACAAATAGTCATAATATTTTAATATCTGAATATCACAGCAATTTAGATACTGTTGCAGAATGTATAAGTGCTTTACATGGAAGTGGAATTAAAAGATAATGAAATAAATACATAATAATAAATAATTTTACTCAGTAATGATCAATTTATTATGATCTCGCTAAATGATCTGAATCTGTGTTTACATTATGGTTCTTCTTGTATCACACGATCTACTCTTTCATAAATTGTTGAATATATCTATTATGCTGTTTACAATAAATATTTAATAGATTCATCTTTATTATTTGGTATAAAATAATAAACAGTTGAAGCTAATTATTATTATTATATTAAAGGTTCATTATTTTATTTTAAAATTGGACTTTCCATTTCATCAATATCAAATTATTTAGATTAAGATTATTCATCTTCAATTTAATTTGCAGATGTTTATCTTTAATGACTACTACTTAAAGATGTTGTTGGTAATAAGTCTTTATGATTTAAATAAAACTAATGTAAGAATCTATAATTTGCATTCATCTTTTTTGCTTTTTCTTAATAACGAATATTAGAATTAGTAAGTATTTTTATTCTATGCTTAATTTATTATATAAAATTACTTCCATTTCATTACAATATCTTTACAATTCATCATTATGAGCTTATAATGTTTTATTTAATATCATCTCTCTTTAATGATTCCTTCTCAATTCATCCAAAGCTTTTTCCAATTTTTATATCCTTTCCATACTCTATATATCATTCAATGGCTTTTAAGTCTATTATATTTATCTTTTAGCATTTATCTCTTATATTTATTTAGCTCTTGTTAAGTCAAGTTTAGGAATAACTGTTCCCTTTGTTGAATTCATTTAAAATTATTATATCTTAGGTGAATAATTTCCATCTATAGGTGCTTCTGATGATTTTGAAGAGGGTGAATCATTAGAAGAAGAATTATTCATTAATTTAAGGGCTCTTGCCTAAAAATCAACTAATTGTTCTGGATCTTAATTCATGAAAATCATTTTATTTCCAGCATGAGCTAAACTTTTTTATTACAATAATTCATTCATCAATCTCTAATAAAATAATATTAACAAAATTACTAAATTTAATCCTTATATACTCTATTTCTCTTTGATTAATTTCTATTTCTATTTTTGTTCATTTAATAATTATTCATTTAACATTTGAATTTCATTATGCATTTTTAACCCAATTAAATCAGGATCACATACTTCTCTAAATTTTATTACAACTCCAGCTACTTCATCATATTCTGGTTTTAACTCCTCCATCTTTGCCAATTTACTTTCAGCAAACATTAAATTTTCTTATAAACCTTACATTTTTTATTGTAAAGATGCTATCAATTCTTTCTCTTATCTCTAAACCTCCTCTGTTATTTATTAATTTATTAATTAATCACATTAAGCTTCATTACGCTCTTTAACTAATTTCTCTATTTTCAATTATAATGTTTCATTTTCTTCTTACAAATTCTTTAATACTGTTAATAGTCCTTTATGCTATTCATCACTTGTTTGAGGCATCAATACCTTCAAAGCTTACTTATTCAATTAAAGTAATCCTTAGAGCTCACGAACTTGCTCTTACAATTATTAATTCTCTTGCTTGAGATAATCGAGAATCTCTAAACTCATTATAAATTTAATTGTTTCAAATTTTATTCAATATTTGCATAAATTCAAATATATTATTAATATCATTTATTATTATCCATAAACCATAATTTACTAATTTGATATTATTCATAGCAATCAAAATAACATAATAAAGAAAATTACTATTTATACTAATTCATATATTAAATTGCTAAATTTTATTAAAATGAAGCCTAAATTTATGAAATCATTTTATTGTAATAATAACAATAATAAATGCTTTAGAAAAGTAAGGAAAAATATAAGAAAAATTTGTAGAAAATTGAATAATAAGAATAATCTTAAGAGATCTTAAAACATCATCAAAATTATTCCATTTATTTGAAGCAAACATCAAATTTAGATTTGCTCAACAAATTATTTCAACTTTCATATATAATATAATCAATTTAAATATTAAAAATTAGCTGTTTAATACAAAAATCTATTATAAGAATAATGAAATACTTATATAATCTTCCTGAATCCTACTAGGATTTAAAATAAAACGCATTTGTATCTTTCTAAAAATAATTAGAAATTATTTAGATTATAATTCTAAATAGATAAATTTACAATTTTACTTAAATATTTGAAATAATGAATTGAGAATTAAATTTTTATATTTAACAATTTGAATTTATTTTTGAAATATAGAAATTATATTGATCTAATATTAAAATAAATTATATCTCTCTATGATATAATAATTGTTATTAATGATGTTCAACAATTAATAATAACATTATACCTCAATTATTGTCACAAATATATTTTCAGATCTCTTTTTAAATTTGAATTTTGATTATATTGATTATAGAATTTTGAAAATAAATTTAAGTTTGAGTTTTGAGTTGAATAATGAATATTTTTGATATGAATGATAATATTGATTACAATAAATATTTATTAATTTAGAATTTAAATCTTTTTATTTATAGATGAATTTCAATATTTATAAATCCTAATTAAAAGTTTATGATGATATTTTTTAATTATTTCATAAAGATTTCATTAATTATACTAGAAAACCATGAGGTGCAAATATTCTACCAGTACAATCTGCTGATGTGCTCAGTATAAAAGGATAGAATGGATGCCATTTACATAATACTACTCTATCTTCGTGATCAGTAATTTAAGTAATCAATTTCTATTGTTCCCAATCATAAAGGGCAATAGTTGAATCAAAAGATACACTACATATATATCTACCAGTTGGATCAAACTCAACACATCTACAATCCATAGTATGATGTTTCAATGTTTTTATACATTTCTAATGTTATATATTCCAAACAGAAACTACACCATCAGAATGTGCAAGAACTGCTAATCCTTAAGATGAGAATTATGGAGCCTTTTTAGAACCCTTGACTAGATTTTATAGATTGTAATTAGTAGTTGATTCTGATAAAGAAACATAATTAATTTCTGTTTACATAGTCATAACTCCTTGGGCTCTACTAGTTCTTTAATCCCATATTCTTAAAGTTCTATCCATACCACATGATACTTAATATGATCCATCACCTGCAGTCTATAAACTATTAACTTTATGTATAATTTGAATACCAATATATTGTTTATGTATGACCTTCTAGATTTCTTATACATTTTTAAGTTTCCACATCCCAAATCTTAATAACAGCATCCTATCCAGCTGACATTAATCTATTTTCATCACTAAAACATACTGATCTTACTAAACCCCTATGACCAATCAAAACTACATCTGTTTCATCTTCTACATTATATAATTTAACAGTTTTATCATTGCTTCCAGTTCCTATTAATCTTCCTGATCTACTCCAATCTATACAATAAATAGATCCTTAATGATGATTTTACTTTTCCATTTACATTTCAACTTGACTTTCTTGTAAAACTGATTTCATTGAAAAGATTCTAAGACTCTTCGAATTAGTTCCAATAGCAAACATTTCACCATCTGATGAAAATGCTGCTGCTCTAATTGGATGTGTATCTGACAATGTAGCTACTTAATCCATTTCATCAAATTTATAATTAAAAAGTTATGATTATATACTACTATTGCTATGAGGAGGAGTAGTATTTAATATACTTTCCTTTCTTATTAATGATTGATCATTTTCATTAATATCAGAGATATGTAATTTTTCAATTATGATATTTTTATCAAAATCTATGGGTAATTAGGAAGAACTAGATTATTACATTTAGAATTAGGATTTCTTTTTGGAATAAACTATTATTCTATAAGTATTTACAATTACATTTT